GGGTAATTAGGAGTCAGGGTTCTCTGGGAGAAAACGCCTCCTCTCAGAACCTCAGACCTTCTGTGTGATTCAAAACAAATTTTATTTTGCAAAGGAAAATTTTAATAGCATTTGAGAGGATTTTCTCATTGTGAATCTCGGCACATTCATCAGAATTGGCTTTTTTCTCTCTCTCTGGGGAACTGGGAGTTCTCACTTTACTGGTGACCTAAGTACATGCCGTCTATAATGGTGTGTCTCTAAGGACCATCATATGACCACAGCTGAGTATGTCCCTTGGCTCATGAGAGAGAAACATCTGTGTGAAAGTATGTGTCTGTACTTCCATGGAAGCCTGGGAAGGCTAAAATACATCTGTCTATAAATCTTCTGGATCCATGTGGCCGTCTGTATTTATGGGTGACCTTCACGTGTGTCTGGGCATGTATGAATAAGGTCATTGAGGCCGGCATGAGTCCGGTGTGTGTAGTGGTACGTAACTGTCTGGGAGACCACGAATGGCCTAGTGGTTGGTCTTGGGTCTGAGTGAGCAGATGAGTCTGTAGCTGGCATCACGGGTCGGGTTCCTCTCACCATGCACCTCCCTGGGGTCCAGCACATGCCACACATATTCAACAAATCTAACCCAGTCTCAGCGGGCTGTTTTGCAAATGGTACCTTCCCAGAGCTAGAATCAGCCATGTTTTGTCTAAGCTGACTCCAGGGATATGGAACCACCTTTGAGAAGGTAGAAAAAGAAGTGACCCCAGCCTTCTGCCGTGAAAAGGCAAGTCTCGGTGCACAGAGAAGGCCCAATGTCAGTGTCACACACTCGGGACTCCTCTGGAGTCCTTGTCCAAGAGCTAATATGCATGGGTAAGGGGCCTTGTAGATAACAAGCAATGGCAGGTCTCTTCCTGTCCTACCTCCAGGACAGCCCGGGACTGGAGGGACTCTGAGTCTGGAACAGAATGCTACATTTCAGTGGAGGCTTACAGGACAACCCACCCCTTCCGAACTTCTAACACTCTTCTCCCATGACCCTCCTTTGAGCCTTCCCGTTCCAAGGCTCAGGAGAATGTCCCACAGGAGCCATGAGGAGCACAGACTACAGCTGAGGTGCTGGGCCCAGCCAACCCAGTCTGGGGGCTCTGAGATTCCCCCCAACCCAACTCTCATGGTTGCCTAGAAAAGAGGTCTAGAATCAGAGAAAACAAGGGGGCTCTAGTGAGGCTTGGGGTAACCCAAGCTTTGGACCCCCCTTGGCTCCATAAAGAGCCTGAAGGAGCGGTTAGGGTCCTGGACAGTGGAGACCTGTGTCCTCAGCTGGTGGAATGAACCACCTGCACTTCCCTTTTCCCCATTAGGCCCGGATCCCCTACTGGTGTGATTAACCAAATTATGGTTTGTTTGGTTGGTTGGTTGGTTTGTATTTTTCCATGAGCAAATTGCACTGGTCTGAACTGAATGAGCCCTGAAGAACCTGTGCCGGGGGCTCGTGGACTAGTGCAGACAGCAGCGGTCTGGGAGAAAGGAAGGCAGGAATAAGGCCGAGCCAGGGACAGGAGAGAGTGGAGAGAGAGAAGAGGGCTGAGGGCAGGAGAGCGTCTCTCACCACTGCTCCCTGGATGCTCCTGTCCACTAATGTCTGGAGTTCAGGGTTGAGGGGGAAGTACCTCGAGGGATGAAACCATCACCCAGCATGCGGGACTGTTTCCTATAATTCTACCAACAGCTGCATGTGGTGCTTGAGGAAACTAAGGCTCAATAAACAGAACAATGAGCTAGGACACTGCTCGTGGTCAGGTTGTTCACGCTCAGAACTCTTGTTCCAGGGTAAGTCAGCCCTGCCCTACAAATCCTCCCGGGGTACCCAGAGCAGCAAGGGCTCCTCACACCAGCTCACAGACACCGTTTCTACACCAGGTGAGAACTGGCTCCTCACAACAGCTCACAGACACCGTTTCTACACCAGGTGAGAACTGGCTCCTCACAACAGCTCACAGACACTGTTTCTACACCAGGTGAGAACTGGCTCCTCGCAGCAGCTCACAGACACCGTTTCTACCCCAGGTGAGAACTGGCTCCTCACAACAGCTCACAGACACCGTTTCCATCCCGGATGAGAAGTTCTCTTGTCCAGGCTACAATACTCATCCTCCTCTGAGGGTCAGCAGGTGAGACTGGGACTGGTTTCAGGCACCGTCACTCACAAAACATCTTCAGTCCCTCTCACTCCCACACAGTGCTATGCTCTGTGTCCCCCAGGACACAGTCACCGTCACCTGCTCACAGAGGTCCCAAATACTCAATGATGCAGTCACTCCAGGGTCTGCACTGGCTGTCACACCAGGCCGCTGTCTACCCTTCACGGCACTGGGTGAAGCTTCGTGCTGGTTCTGCGTCACACTGTCTCATTCTGATGCCACCCAGCACCTCTCAGGCTCCAAACTAAATAAATAAAGGAATAAAAAGCGATTTGAAAGTAGCAGGTGGAATACTGAACAGAAGAATTTAAGGGGGGGGATGAGAGGACCAAGGAGATAAGGAAGTAGAAGGGTGGGGTGAGGAGAGTCAAAAAAACTAAGTCTAAGTGAAAATGCCATAAGGACACCTGCTGAGTTAAAAGAAGTAAGATAAAATATTTCAGCAAAATGACCCACAAAACGAGAGGGAAATATTGCATCTAATAAAGGTTGAATACATCAAGAACTCCTATAGCCCACCAGCACCAATCCAAACCTCCAGTAGGAACAGAGGACTCGTGTGGACATTTTCCCAGAGAGGATACACAGATGGCCAAGCGGAAAGACATTCGGCATCTCTAAACAGAAAAGAAAAGCAAAACCAGGGCGAGAGGACACGTCACACCATCAGGAAGGCCAGAAAACAGAAGGGCTGGTCTTCTACGCTGTGATGGGACTCCATGGCAATGCAGATGCTGAGACACAGTGTGGCCACATCCAACACAGTCACGGGAGCTGCTGAATACCTGGGACTCCAGGACTCAATGGCAGAGGCAAGAAGACTGTGAGCTCAAGGCCATTCTGGGGTGCGTGGTAAAACACTGTGTCAAAACCAACAGGGCTGCACAGTGACTCGGTGCCGAAGGTGGTTGCCCCGACCCTGAGCGCGATTCCTGGCATCCCCACGGTAGAGGAGAGGGCTGACTCCTGCACGCTGGCCTCTACCTCCACACGCGAGCCACGGTCTCGACACAAACAAGCAATTGGACACATGCACACACACTAAAGAAAAGATAATTTTTTAAGAGACTGAAAAAAAAAGAAAAGAAAAAAGCATGAAAATACCTCACGGTTCAGAAAAAGTAATTATTAATATATACTCAAGATCATTGAGAGCAGAGTCCTAAATGGATCTTTGCACATCCATGTTTGTAGGCACAACATCCACCACAGCTAAACAGTGGTGACGACATGCGTGACTATGGATGGACAAACAGATACGCAAAAACACGCACATTGGAGTATCCCTTGCCCAGAAAGGAGGAAAGTTCTGTCACAATGAGCCTCAGGACAGTATGTTCAGTGACATAAAAGGCAGTCCTCAAAAGACAAATACCACATGAGTCCAGTTACGTGAGCTCCCTAGAGAGGAAGAAATGGGAGGGAGGTTGCAGGAGGGGGGACTAGTGGGGGGAGGGGGAGGGGAGACAGGTGGGCGGCAGGAGGCAGAGACTTTCTTAGGTAGATTTTGTTTGGGAGAATGAACTTTGGAGCCTGGCCTAGAAACAATGTGAACACATTTAAGGACTCGCTCCTGTGTATATTTTACCACAAGTAAACAGTTTCTCAGTTTAATGGGAGAGAACTGAAAGCGAAAGGGAAAAGGAGCCACACAGTTACCGACTAAATCTCCTCCTCAATCTTCTCAACTACTGGATGGCAGTTTGTCCTTCCTGGTGGTATTGTGCTTAAAGTGTTTTTATTTGGAGCCAGGTGTAATCCCAGCACTTAGGAGTTGAGTCAGAGGCAGGTGGATCTATATAAGTTTGAGGACAGCCTGGTCTACATAGTGAGTGCCAGACCACCTAGGGCTGCATAGTGAGACCCAGTCTCAATTAAATTAAATTAAATTAAAAATTTCCACAATAAAAAATATTTTCGTCTTCCTTGACCCTGACCTTTTCTCTAGCAACCCATCCCTCCTCTGCATAGTCTGTATGTCATTGCTCATATTACCACGTTGCCCCGGCTTCTAGCTCAATTTGTCACCGAGGGATGTGTATGTGTGTGCGTGCGTGTGTGCGTGCGTGCGTGTGTGCGTGCACAGAAGTCAGAAGCCAGAGGTTAATCTCAGGTGTCTTCATCTTCCGCCCTCCACATTAGCTTTTCAACAAGGTCTCTCACTGACTGTGGCCCTCATTCAGCCTGGTCTGTAAGTCCCAAAGTTCTCCTGTCTCTGTCTCCTCAGGACTGGGGTTACAAGTGTGGGCTGTTGTTGCACACACCATTTTTTTTTTTAATGTGAGAGGATCAGATGCTCACACGCAGATCCTCAGACTGGACAAGCATTCTCCCAGCTAAGCTGTCTCCCTGCCCACCTGAGTGGTTATCAGCCTCCCCTGTCCATGAGAAGGCAGCCTCTTCCTTCTTTCTCACTTTCAAAGTCGCCAACAAGTTCAATCATTCCAACCTCCCAACCATCTCAAAGGCCTGCCTGTCTCCCTGCTGTGTCCCTCCACTCACCATGCACAGCATTCGGGGCCATCTTTCCAACTGTCCTGTGTACTGTTGTTACTCTCCTGCCTCACGCCATCGCTGTGTTCTGACAACGCTGTCAGACTCAGCATTGTTGTCCCATTTCACTTTGGCATGGCCGTTACACATCACATGCTCCTTGTCAGGCTGGGGCTGCATGCAGCATGACCATCTTCACACTTGCTGTCGCTTCACGTCGCATCCTTGTTCACACAAGCTTGTTCACACGCAGCCTTACTGCATCCTATCCTTGGGGCACACACTGGGTCTCACAGTCAGAGCAAGACAATCGAGCCACAAGCTCAGAAACACACTTGTTACCACATAGTGTCATTTCCCCACGTTTATGTATCTGATTCTCATGACATCACGCCTGTTAGGCACTCATGCTTAACCTCAGAGCCGCATGGAACATGCCTACTGTCTCACACACAACTGGGTCACACATTCACTCTCCACACAGTATCCCATGAGCACTCTCACACACTTAGTATCACATGTCATAGACCCAAGGTTACACACCCTATAGAACATCCGTTGTCCCACAGTTAGTGTCCCTGTGTTACCTGCAGCGCGCGCGCATGCGCACACATACACACACACACACACACACACACACACACACCTTTGCTGGGCAGGATCACAGAGCTGCTGCCTCCTGGCAACACTGTTTCCTGTTGTTGTGCTCAGAGGCCGCAGCTGATGCTTGCTCCTTCAGGGGTTTCCTGTTGTCAGGGTTCAGTCGGGCCTGGCCGGTCTGGGACATACAACCTGAAGCCAGTCAGCAAGAACTCTGGCCTCCTCTGCCTCCCTGCTGATTCTGTGTGAGCTCACAGGGCCTTTCATGGTCTCCTCTCAATATACTCAAATTCTTCAAGTGCCTGGACCCATGAGAGGGGCACAGGAGACACTCACTGGGCCTTGTTCATCGACCAGACTGGAAGTTGCATGCCCAGCCCTCTGCTTCCTAGTGAGACTCCTGGCAGTCTATGACAAACATTGTCTGACCGACTTTGGACAAGACCAGCAGGCCTCAGCCTGGAAGCCTGACAGAGAGGAAGAAGGGTAGATGCCACAGGGTCAGAAGGCCAGCGAGTTAGAAACACTATCCCAGAGGAAGTCGCCCCTATGGAAGCCTCTGAGAGCGGAGAAATATGAAGGAAGAGAAAGAAAAGGCTTAGAGTTGGGGAACCAGACAGGGGCAAAATGCCGTAGAGACAGGAACCTGGCGGGGCCGGGACTGACAAGGATGAAGAGGAGAGAGCAGAGGTCACACTGTGGAATTAGAAAAACACAGGTTCCTCCTGCCCAGACCAGCATGGTTCTGACTCAGGCTCCAGTCAGGGAACTCAGGGTACACCCCTCCTTCCTGGCTTTTCCTGTGGCCCTACAGATTGTCCCTAAAGGCTGCCAAGGCCCCTCACCTCTTGCCTGGGCCAACCTGCAGGAAGGACACGAGCAGGCCAACGCACACGCTCTCCACACGGCCTGAGATAAATATTTCCCGGGAAACGGAACTTGTTCTCTGAGTGTTTACAGCCAAGGGCCAAGCAGGATGAGGAGGGGGGAGCTCATCTCTCACGCTCACGCCTGGGCCCTCAGCATCTGTCCCAGCACCACTGTGGGCCTGCTGTGTGTTTCTCAGGCAGTCCCTGTTGTTTGTCTGAGCTGACTCTGGGTTCTGAAGGAGCCCGGATCTCTTGCTGGGCCCAAGCTCGCCTGCAGCCTGGCCTGTGTCTTCCCCAGCACCTCTCCCTTCTGACTATGCTTTTCTGACCTGCCTGTGAAATCATTTCCACTGTTCTCTCATCATTCAGGGTGTGGACAGATGGATGGGCAGACAGGAGACAGGCTAGGGTGACAGCTGAGACCCTTCTCTAGTCCCAAGGCCCTACATGCCCCAGGCCTGTGCAACCTGACAGGTGGGCACAGACAGATGGCAGGGTCTCAGGGCCCCCGTGAATGCCAGATGCTACAGCCAACTTGTTGGCACTGAGGCCACTTGCCTGATGTGAGAATTCAGGAGGAAGCAGAACAGCTGGCAACGAGAGTGCTTGATCAAGAACATTCAAGTAGGCCTGGAAAACAGCCTTTACCGTGGCCCTTTCCGCCTCATCCCGGCGCCCTTTGCCCAGGACCTGTGCCCACTGGCATGTGGAGCTATCCTCCTTGCCCACCTGTGCTCACTCAAGCCTTTCTCCGTCACAGCAGCAGTCTTGCTTTGCTGGCTCCCAGCTCTGACCGTTGTTAACCAGCACATGGGCCCCGCATCCACCTCTGCAGCCCCCAGCTTGTCCCTAGCTCAAACCACACCTTCCTACCTCCTGAGGGCTCCTCTCCGGGGCTGAGTTTCATACTCTTCTACCCAGGGGTCCTTGCTTCCTGTCCCCCTTGGTTGGTTCTGTCAGGAGCTGACTACATGGATTCTGACAGCCCAGCTGATCTCTGGCCTTGACTCTCCGCAGCCTTCACTGTTTCAAGGCCGCCTCCCAGAAGCCTCCATGATTTCCCTAATCCACCAACTGAGCCTCTTTCTTAGAACTATTTCAATCCTATGCACAGGAGTGCCCATTCATTCAAGAAGTCTTTATTAAGCACCCCCTGTATGCCAGGTCCCAGTGAACCCAAGATGGATGATAGAGTCAGGTGTTTCCAACCACTGGAGAGGAGATACACAACCCGGAACCTGTGTGGTGCCCTCGGTGCCAGCGGTGCCCTTGGGGAGGCTTCAAGCTGTGAGTGTCCAGACAGGGAGGAGACTGGCCGAACCTGAGGTGGGAAACTTCACAGAGAAGGGTATTTATTTTCTCCAAAAGCAGCCACGGAGCTGCAATGGATGCACTGCGCAACGGGGCACTTGGTCTAGGCACCTGTGCCATTGCCCACGCCTGTGGCCATCTCGGCACCTGTTCCAGCCTTCGTCCCAGCTAGAGCTCCCAGGCCTCCAGCTGGCCAAGGGCCAGGGAGTTATCCCTAAAGAGTATGCGGAACCCATGCCTGCTGGGTGGGGGGTGCTGGCAGCATGGCCAATCGCTGCTGCCAAGACAGTGCCAGAAGAACGCCCCACACGGCAGAACTTCTGCAGCCTCACCTCAGCCCTGCTGCACGCACTGTCTTGTGTGTGGTGAAGGGCAGGCAGCTTAGGTCTGACTCTAATGAACACTGAGCAAGAAAGCTTGTCCCACAAGCTGCTGCCACACAGGCCTGGGCCAGGTCTTCACATGTGCCCTGAGGCTTCTCCAGCCGCTAATAACAATGCTTCTGTCCCAGTAAGATGGGGGACCTTTTTGTTTGTTTAGGCTTTTGTTGTTACTTGCTTGTTTTATGTTGTTTTGTTCTGTTCTAAGACAAAGTATAATGTACCCCAAACTGACCTTGAACTGAATGTGAATCTGACGATGACCTTGAACTTTGTATCCTCCTGCCTCTGACTCCTGAATGCTGAGATTAAAGGCATGCAGCACCATGCCTGATTCATGCAGAGCCTTGTTCTTGCTAAGCAAGCACTCTACCAACCCAAACTATGTCCATCGGGAGATCTGACCTCCACTTGCAGGTGAGGAAGATGGATCCAGGATGGTTACCTGACAGCTATGGTCACACACGGGGAAGTGACAGGTCCAGACCCAGAGCAGGATCTCTCAAAAGGCAAAGCTAATGATGACCATCCTTTGAGGTGAGTGAAGGGTTGTGGGCAGAACAGAGCTGAGACAGTCCTAGGCTAGAATCTTTAATCGGGTGAGAAGGACCCAAACACAGGACTGGGGGAGGCTTGATCCAAGGAGGCCCTGGAGAAGGTGAGGTTAGTAGAATGGGGAAGGGACTGTCTGTGAGTGTGCAGACATAGGGACAATGGCTGAGGTACTGAGTCTGCGCAGAGACACAGAACCTAGAGCCGGGCTCCTTCAGCCCCCGCAACCCTAGAGGTCTCAGCTTCTCCAAATCCCTCCCCTCGTGGCTTCCTGGGTGGGTGACAAATGCAATCTTTCCTGGAGGGTGGCCAAGGCTGCTGAGATACTGCTGGCTCCCAGGAACACCATCTGTCCCAGCTCTGGAGGGAGCTCCCACCCATGGGGAATGCCATGGCAATAAATAATTAATAAATAAATTAATAATGACTCCAATCCTCCCTCTTCCTTTGGTCAGCTCCTAGCACCAGAACCCGGTCCCACAGCGAGGGGCATTCTCAGTCCTAGTCTCATGCTGCAGTAGGAAAGCCATGTTGAGCCCCTGCCCCAGACCCCGATGAATGGGCAGGGAGGCATCCTAGCCCCAGGTCCACCCTGATCCACCCCAGCACCTGCTCTGAGTCTTGGCTTCCCCCAAACACAGAAGTCCTAGGTTATGCTAAGAGTTGAATGAGAGCATGTGCCCAAAGTGTCAGCCCAAGGGGGCTGACTCAGGCAAGAACTTCCTCTCAGTTCTCTTGGACACACTGGCAGACACATGAGCCAGGATACATGCATGCATGTGCATGTACAAAACACACACCCACACATACCACTCTGTGTCAATCTTCAAAATCCACAGTTCACCCCATTTCTGTTATTCATTAAACATGGAAGGTTAATTCAAGGCACCCCAAAGATATGGTCAGAACTGGGCTGGCAGCCCCCCCAGCAGTGGAGGAAGGGAATGACAGAAACACAACCCCCAGGCTTAGGGAACTCACAGTGAAGGGGACAAGCCGGACATACATAGAGTCAGAGGATGAAGAAAATAGGGTCCTATGGCACACAGTGGACAAAAGACAACAGAATGCCCTGGCACCCAACTGCCAGGTGGGAGAGCTCAGTGGAGGAAGCAAGAACCAGCTGGGGCTGGAGCTGATAGAGAGTGGGAGGAGCCATCTTGGAAGAGCCCGCAAGAGTTTAGGATGTCAGCAGCAGGTGCTCGGTGAAGCAAGAATGGCTGAGGGAGATTGTGGTAGACCGGAGGAGCTTCGGAAGGTCAAGAAGATGGAAGCATGGAGAAATGCTGAGTAGAATGGCGAGTTCAAATGTGACTGTTAGAAA